TGTGTGTGTGTGTGTGTGTGTGTGTGTGTGTGTGTGTGTGTGTGATGCATGGCGATGTGATCAGTAGGGTCGTGTGCACTTAGTGTGCTTGATGGTTGTATGTTGTGCATTTGGGGTTGTGCATAACATGGTGTCTTGGTAGGGTTGAATCATGTCTCAGGAGGAGCGTAAGTGATTCGACCATACTCTCTTATGATGTTTATGAGGTGCTCCATTGTGGAGGGTTGATGGCCCAGTGTCCATCAGTGATGATGTGCTCCTTTGTGGAGGGTTGATGGCCCAGTGTGCATCAGTGATGATGTGCTCCTTTGAGGAGGGTTGATGGCCCGGTGTCCATCAGTAATGATGAGTCAGTATCGCATGCATGTGTTGGGTTGCATTATGATATGTTGGGTTGATGTTTGGACAGTAGGTCCTGTTTGATGTTGGCGGGGTGATGATTTGTTTATTTACTGCCTTTTTATTCATGTATTTGATTACCGATAATTTTGATCATGTTTTCTCACTCCTCTGTTATTGTTGTGGTCTGTGCTTCTTCGAAAGTATAGATAATCCAGGTGCAGAGCTAGCTTGGATAGTGGTGTGCGAGTCGAGTCCTAGGATGCTCTGACACGTAACACGGGACTTGGGAGTTTATTTGGTTTATGATAAATTTGTTGTATTCCTGTGACGTATCGTATTTTGGTGAACCTTGATGATGAATGAATATTTTGTGTAACTTGGCGGATGGTCGTGCATGATATATATTAATGATAACTTTCCACTGCTTTATTTTGAAAATCATACAATGAAATGTTTTGTAGAATTTTGTTGAATGTGATATACCACTTTTGGAATGGAGACTATGATAATTGTTTAACTTAATCGCATTTTATTTTAATTGGGAAAGGGGGGTGTTACACCAAGCGAAGGTTTCTAGCTTCTTCTCCAAAATCAGGATACTCATTATCAATTTTCACCCACTATGGTGAATCTGCCGGATGTCGATACTTCCCATCTATAATTTTATCATATGCATGCCAAGTCAAGTTTTTTACATCTGTTTCACTATTAAACATGCGTCTAAATCTCACAATTATAGAAAAATACCATAAGACTTTTGTTGGTGACAACGTTTTCTTATCTCGAGATACACTGCATTTAGGACACTCGTTTAATGATGCATATTCATTTCGAAACAAAATGCAATCATTTGGACAAGCATGTATCTTATCATAGCTCATGCCAATAGAGCATAACATCTTTTTAGCTTCATAGGTTCGATTGGGAAGAACAATATCCTCCGGAAACATCTCTTTCATAAGGGCTAATAACTCTGTGAAACTTTTTTCTGACCATCCATTACCCACCTTTAAGTTGTACAACTTTAATACCGCAGACAATCTTGTGAAAGTAGTGCAACCTTTATACAACGGTTTCTCTGCATCACTTACAAACCTCTCAAACATCTTGGGACAATCCTGAAGATCTTCTTCAAGTGCTTCTACAATCTCTTCGACTCGATCACAATCATATGTATCCCTGCCATTGTCATTTGAAGCATAGGTCGTATTATCCCCTGGTTCAACATTCTCGTTACTTATCTCACCATATAATGTCCAACATGTATAACTTCGATCAATTCCATGTCTCTTTAAATGAGATTCCAACTGAACTGCGTCAATCCGACGCCCATAACAGCAACCTAAGCAAGGACATGTGATCCTACTGGGGTCTTTGGCGTGTTCAACAACAAACTTAACGAATTTTGATACCTCACTCTCGTACTCTTTTGACAATCGATTGGAAGACATCCATTTTTTATCCTTACTAATTAAGTAGGCTAAACTAAACTAAGAAAGCTAAACAAAAACAGCGAATACCTGTAGCACCTGTAGAGAAATCACCAACTTCTAGAACTACACAGTAGGATTCTTGGAAACGATCACAATCTTACTCTTCACAGGTAACCCCTATAACAAATTCACTAAGTTAGTAGTTGTATCTAATATAACCACTTTATCACTCAAGTTCAAGAAATTACTCAACAAAATCACAATATTCAACAAGTAATTCGTGAATATTCAAACATCAACAATATTCAAGAACATCAACAACATTCAACAATTAATTCAAGTTTCCATCAACAACAACATTAACATATATATAAAATTAACAGACAAAATTAATTCATTTACTTTCATCAACAACATCAACATCATTAACATCAACACTAACAACATCAACAACAATATTATCGTTACTTAATTCAAGTTTCCATCAACAACAAAAACATTAACATATATACAAAATTAACTTACAAAACTATTTCACGTTTTCATCAATAACATCAACATCAACAACATAAACACTAACAACATCAACAACAACATTCTCGTTACAACATCATAAACATCAACAACATCAAGAACAACAACAACAACATTAACATATACATTTACATTAAGAACAAAAAAAACTTCAATATTGACATATACATTTACATCAAGAACAAAAAATTTTCAATATTAACTTCATTAAAATAAGTTCTCAAGCCACACTATGAATTATAAAAGTAACATTTTAAAAAAACTTCAATACCTTGAAAATAGTGGAATGGCCGGACAGAAGATGTGGTGGCGGACGGAGGGAGCATGACAGTCGGCAGAAATGACGAAGACGGCAGATTGGTCGGACGGACGGAGGCAATACGACGGTGCAGCGGACGAAAGTGGTCGGACGGAGAGATTAGGGTTTATCGCGAGTGGGAAAGAAATAGTTTAAACACGACTGCTTCTGTTTCTGAATATGCTGAGTTTTATTAAATTTATGATATTAAAGCATATAGCAGCACTTTTGCATGCACCTTTAGCAGCGCTTTATAAAAGCGATCTCTAAGGTCTACCTTAGACAGGACCTATAACAGCGCTTTTATAAAACGCTTTCGTAGGTACCCCATTTACCAGCGCTTTATAAAAAGTGCTTTCTTTTGTAATACAAAATTGACATCTTTAGCAACGCTTTTAGAAAGCGCTTTCGTATGTTACCCATATAGCAGCGCTTTTGTAGGTCACCCATATAGCAGCGCTTCTCAAAGCGTTTTCGTAGGTCTCCCATTTAGCAGCGCTTTCTTTTGTAATACAAAACTGTCACCTTTAGCAGCTCTTTTTTAAAAGCGCTTTCTAAAGTCAGCTCTTTTTTTTCCTTTTTTTTCCTTACTCTTTAGCAGCGTTTTTACAGAAAGCGCTGTCTTTTCTGCGCTGCCAAAAATCATTTTTGACGTAATGAATACAATCCTTATTTCCTTATTATTCTCTCTACTAAAAGTATCTCAGACACTAATATCTTTAAGATTTGAAACATGCCCTACATTGCTTATCTTTTTTTAGTTATTTATGTGCTTCTCATATATATATATATATATATATATATATATATATATATATATATATATATATATATATATATATATATATATATATATATATATATATATATATATATATATATATATATATATATATATATATATATATATATATATATATATATATATATATATATATATATATATATATATATATATATATATATATATATATATATATATATATATATATATATATATATATATATATATATATATATATATATATATATATATATATATATAATATTTTTTTATTCATTTTCAAAGCAAAATAACCTCATAAAATAGTAATAACCTATTGCTATTCAATTTTATAAAATAAAATTATTATTTCAGTAAAAAAAAAAACATCTTCATAATAATTATTCTTTTATTAAAATAAATACGTATTATATATTTCAATTTTATCAAACAATAATAATAGAATTAATAGGTGATTTAATATATAAATTTGACTTTGCTATCTTTTTCATATAAATATATTTAATATAAATTTTTCATATTTCAAAATGAATTAATTATAAATTTCGGTCCATAAATATAAACTTTTCTTTTGATATTTTTATTATGTTTTTAAAAGATTACATTATTGACTTCTATAATAACAATACTTATTTTAAGGCCCATCATCCTTTTTTGCGTTTTGGTCTGATATGTTAATCTCCAAGTTGTTTTTAGTTTTATAATTAAAAATAATATTTATATTAATTTATTAACTCTTCAAAAATATTTTACATGGTTGTTTTCAGTTTAATTAATGACGTAACAACTCAAAATTCAATCCATAAATTCATCACTTATTAGATAAAAATGATTAATATAATAAATTTTGAAGAAATAAAAAACTAATATGAATATTTTCAAAGACAATTGATGAAAATAAACTCCAAATTGAACAGAATATTAAATCTATTTTTAATTATATTCTTTTGACTTTTTAATCAACAATAAATATTTATAATTATGTTAATTAACTCTTTGACAAAGAAGAAACTTATAAAAAAAAAACATATAAATTATTAAAATATTAAATATAACAAACAAGTTTTTTAATTCATATGATTTACAACTCTTATATTTAAGGGGTTGGTGAAATAGTATTAATCGATATTTATTTTAAAAAGAAATTGCATTTATAAAAAAGAATTTATATTTAAAGAAATAAAATGTAATCAAATTTTTTATATTTAAAGAAAAATAATTTCTATATATAAAATAATAAAAGAAATGTTTATGCTGTTTTTTCTTTTTTTGACTAAGGTTTACATAAATGGAAAAGCAATACCGAAAAATACGTTAAAAGAAACATAAAATACCCTTTCTTTGACTTTTAATAAAAATAATAATAAAATGTGACTTTGAATAATGCAATTTTTTCCCACAAAGTTACTCTTGAGACATTAACACTAGGGAAACATGAAAACCGATATTAAATGCATAGTTTCAATGTCTTCTACCCCAGTTACACCGACCGCACTAGAAAACCAAAATCCCTTATTAGCCAAAAGACAAATTCATTCTCGTTATAAATTCTCTCTCCCTTTCTCTCATTTTCAGCATAACCCACAAAACTTTCATTCTCTTTTCACCAATGGATAATCCTTCCACCAATGAAAGTTCCAACATTTCCTCTATTCATTTAGAGTCCGCTTCAAACCGAAAACCAACCCCTCTCATTAAGATGATAGCAGTTGCTTCCATTGCTGCCGGCATCCAGTTTGGTTGGGCCCTACAGCTGTCTTTGCTAACACCATACATCCAGCTGCTTGGCGTCCCACATAAATGGGCAGCCAACATCTGGCTGTGCGGCCCGATTTCCGGTATGATCATCCAACCGATCGTCGGCTACTACAGCGACCGGAACCGTTCTCGTTTCGGTCGCCGCCGTCCATTCATCTTCTTTGGCGCCCTCGCAGTCGCGGTCGCAGTCTTCCTCATTGGCTACGCAGCTGATATCGGTCACTCGTTCGGCGACGATCTCAAGAAGAAAACACGTCCAAAAGCTGTGGTTATCTTTGTATTCGGTTTCTGGATACTCGACGTAGCTAATAACATGCTCCAAGGACCTTGTCGTGCCTTCATCGGCGACCTTGCTGCTGACGATCACAGAAGAATGAGAACAGGTAACGCCTTGTTCTCGTTCTTTATGGCCGTCGGTAATGTACTTGGTTACGCTGCAGGCTCTTACCGCAAACTCTTCATGATGCTCCCTTTCACAAAAACCGAAGCCTGCAACGAGTTTTGCGCAAATCTTAAAACTTGTTTCTTCATTGCAATATTTCTCCTGTTCATACTTTCAACCTTCGCTCTTCTTTATGTAGAAGACATTCCATTACCATCATTAGAATCACAATCACAATCAGAAGCACAAACACAGACACAATCAGAACCAGATGTTTCGTGTTCTGGAGAAATACTAGGTGCATTCAACGGACTACAAAAACCTATGTGGATGCTAATGTTAGTCACAGCTATAAACTGGGTTGCATGGTTCCCATTTTTCTTGTTCGACACTGATTGGATGGGTCATGAAGTGTACGGCGGTGATCCCGGAGACAACGCATACAACCGCGGCGTCCGTGCCGGAGCAATGGGGCTCATGATCAACGCGGTTGTGCTTGCTTTAATGTCGCTAGCGGTGGAGCCATTAGGGCGTTTTGTTGGGGGTGCAAAAAGACTTTGGGGCATCGTGAATATCATTCTTGCGGTTGGACTCGCCATGACTATTGTCATAACCAAGGCAGCTCACCATGAACGCCTCGTCAGCAATGGTAATACGCCTTCTGCTGGTATTAGGGCTGCCTCGTTCGCTTTCTTTGCTCTCCTTGGAGTTCCTCTTGCGGTATAATTTTTTATTTTTTATTTTATTCTTTTCTTTTTATTTTTAATTTGGTAATTATGTTTTCTTTACTATTTTTTTTATTCCTCAAATCGATTCTATTAATAGTTTGCAAAAACATCAAATTATAAAAATATGCCTAATCATAATCAATGAAAAAATAATACATTCAATGGTTTGGTATACCTTTAAAATATGATTTTTTTTCTTTCTGTTTTTATATGACTTTTACAATTTTTTAAAACTATATTACATTCATTTGTTATAAATTAAAAAGAGTAATTTTAGTATCAATATTTTTTTTAAGTTTTAATTCTTTTTATAAAAAGTTTTTCAAAATAATTTTAAATTTAAATAATTGTTTTAAATTTTGATATAAAAGAAAGTCATATCAAAATGATGAAATATTTAAAATAATATTTCATAAATTTATTTAAATAAATTAAGTATTTTAAATTTACCTTATATATTCAAAATGTTGAAATAAATAAATTATTTTTAATTTATCTAATATACTCAACAATTTCTGATATTAAATTTTTTTTTTACAATATTATTTAATCAGAACCGTTGATTTATTTAAAAAATTTAACTTTTATTTTAAACACTTAAAAAATAATACTAATGAATAATCGTTATACATTAAAAGTGTAAATAATTTATACCAAAAATACATAACAATTAATCACTATATTCAAAAGAACGAAAACAAGGTAATCCAAAAATATAAATATGAAACAATGATACAATGATGTTTCATGATTATGTTGTTGTAATTAATTTTATAATGAACTTGAAATCGAGTTAAAAATATTAACAATTTCTTAAATTAATAACTACGAATTACAATGTTAATTTATGTATAAAATATATTTTTTTTCTATATGGTAGTAACTTTTCATAGTTGATTTTTTTTCCATACTTGACAACGATTTTGTTTTTGTGAATACACTTAATAGTGACCAAAATAATTTATTAAATTTTAAATAACATTATTTTATTGAAACAGTACTTTCATTAAATTATAAATTGGATGATAAATGAAATCAGGTTTTTTGTTTGACTGAAATTTAATGAAATGGCATATTCATATAAAAAAAAAATCTTATTAAAAATAAAAAATATATAAATATGTATTTTGAAATATATCATCTAGTCATTATAATTTCACTTTTTTAATTTATTTAACCATTGATGCATCTGAATTATATATAGATTAGAATCATTAACTATTAAATGAATAAAAAAAAGTCAAATTTATTTATAATAATATTGATTGGGGATACATTATTTTAGATGGTAAGGGAAAACTATATCATCTTAAATACTCCTTATTTAAGATGTCTCACCTTGCACTTCATGAATTTGTATTTTCAAATAATAATTAAAAAAAAACTGGTGAGACATTTTTTATATAAATTAATTTTTGTTCTTTTTGTTATTAAATTTTGCTTACAAAAATTATATCACTTAAGGCAACAAAATGATGCCTCATAAACTAATTCATGAATGCTTTGCAGATTAATTTCAGTGTCCCATTTGCTTTAGCATCTATTTACTCCAGTGCATCAGGGGCTGGACAAGGTAAAATAACTCCTATAGTTTACTCATTTTTAAAAACTATTATTATAACATTTGTTTTATAAATGTTTCAAAATTTTCAGGTTTATCATTGGGAGTTCTTAATATTGCAATTGTCGTTCCACAAGTAAGATTCCATTCACTTCATATAATTGTAGATTAAGTTTAGGGTCTGTGATAGATAGAACATAGTGAAGTTTATAATATTTTTTGTGATACTTATACACACAAATTTCAGATGATAGTATCGGCATTGAGTGGACCATGGGACTCTCTGTTTGGCGGAGGCAACTTGCCGGCGTTTGTGGTCGGCATGGTGGCGGCGGTAATCAGTGGTGTATTAGCAATTATTATATTACCTACCCCAAAGCCAACCGATGTGGCCAAGGCTCCAATTGCGGGTGGATTTCATTAGTTAAGAAGGTTTAGATATCGATCATTTTTATGTTAAATATGTTGTGTATGGGGGTATACTACTTAGTCCCACCAAATTCCGTTTCGTGGCATGCCCTAACGCATCATGTTAATAGTAAAAGGCTGGTGTGATCCTACAAAAAGTTCTTTCTTTGGATTTGGATAACTTGGTTATAGATTTGGGTTGTTGGATCTTAAATTCACTGTCGAATTTGTTTGAAATTAATTAACTATATGAATTATTGGAATTGTTAAATTTCAACTCAATGGCTGAAATTGTCTATTAAGTCTAATGTGTGAACCTGCTACCACACGGGATCCTTGTCTCTTAGGTTAAGGTTTGTACTTGAAAAGTACGTCGAAGCAACTTTACTGATCATGGAATCAATAAGGCTTCAATTGTATAGTAATTTAAATTGCCGCCTTCTTCGATCCTCTGCCATAGTATATATAAGTCTCATTAAATCTTTGTCATTTATGCGTTTCAAGTAACCCACTTATTTTGAGGATGGGAATACTCTCTAGAATATTGGCAGTATTCTTATTTGTGACCTCTATCTCATTCTATCTGAGTGTCACTATATCAAAATAGACTTACTAATAAACAGTCGCTCAAGCACATAGGGGCGGAGTGTTTTGAGTATACAAAATCATAACATTATATAGTCTTCTCAAGCACGAGGTATGTAGGGACGAAGTGTTCTGAAAAGAAGATCATGATATTATATATTCCACCAAGCATGAGGCGTGCAGAGACGAAGTGTTTTGAGTGGAAGACCATGACATTATATAATTCCTCATGCACGAGGCGTGTAGCGGTGAAGTGTTTTGAGTGGAAAACCATGACATTATATAGTCCCCCATTCACGAGGTATTTACGGGAGAAATACTTTGAGTTGAAGACCATTTCATTACATCGTCCCTCAAGTACAAGACATGTAAAGGCGAAGTGTTTTAAGTGAAAGACCATGATGTTACACAATCCTTAAACACGAGGCACATAGGGATGAAGTGCTTTAAGTGATGGATCTATCGTTCTCCTTAGTTGGGATCTTTATATGGTCGAGCTTGGTACCTGGCTATTATCCTCGTGTTTTAGAGATCTGAACTCTATTGTGTCTTTTGTTATATCTTTTATAAGTTTCTAAGTATTATTTTACTTTGTTGTAATGATTGAAGTTACTCTGCTCTCCTAGAGTTTACTGTTTAGGATTCTGCTGCTTATTTTAATGGTTGTTTTTTACTTTATCGTTTTAGTAATTGAGTGTCATCTCGGCTAGATCATTACACATCTCTTTGAATTAAGAGTTTTTTGCCAAATTGTATTTTGCATTCATAAATCAAAACCTTGTGTCTAAGAAAAATGGTTCAAGTCAATAAGTCTAAAACTTGGATCAAGAAACTCACAAATGCATTATGTAAATCATACTAACTACTGACTCAATCATGGAAACTTCACTTTTTTCAAAATTTCAAATTTGAAAGTGTGATTCGAATCAGTTATGTGTGATTAGAATCATAAAATGAATGCGTAAATCAAAATATACTTCTAGAAGTGTGATTGAATCATAAGATTTCTTGATTTGAATCAAGTGTGAGCTTGACTCTAATCACATCGAAATCTGATTCAAATCATAAAAGGGTTTTGAAATTTATAGCTCTTCTCTCGTAGTGTGATTCAAATCATAGAATTCTTTTACTCGAATCATGATTTGAATCAAAGGTGAAAATTTTGGTTTTTATGTTCTTTATTCAAATTATTTTCTCACTTGACTCGAATCATAATCTTTGCTTTTGACTCAAAACATAAAGGTCATTTTACTCATTTTAGTGCATTAACGTAAGCACGTATATAATCAAAATTTTCTCTTTGTAGCTTATAACTTTGATACAAGATTGCAGAGAGCACATTCATTCATAACTTAAAAAAAACTATTTGTTAGTTCTGCCAATCACACAAATCTCTCTTTCTCAAATCAAACTTAAAGAAAAACTTTTTCTTGCTTTGATTTTGTGAGTTCTTAAGCATGTTGTGTGAGATTGCATATGAAACCATTCATCTTCAATCTTTAGCAAATCACCATTCTTGTGTGTGTGCTTCTCAATTTTGAGGGAGTATGAGATCTAGTGAGAGAATTGTCATTAGTTTCTAATGTTTTATGATGTTTGAATTTCAAATCGATGAATCAAGTTGTAATTGTGTAGTTGGGATTGACAATCCAACAAAAAAAAGTTTTCTCCTCGAAGGAAAAATTTGATAGAGCCAAGTGAAGGTTGTTGAATACAAAGTTGAAGTTTTTGTTTCTTTTGTGAGATCGAAGGTTCAGAAAAGGCACCGGGGTGAGTGAAGACTGCTTAGGACAGAGGCTTGTAGAAAAATTTTTGATTTAGGAAGGTGAAACAATTCAAAATCAAGTAAAGATCTTGTAGAATTTAACCTCGTAAGTTGTATACATAAAAAAGAAAGAAGATTTAGATTAAAGTTGTTTATTCGTTGATTTAAGTTTTTACATTATCTGAGATTATCTGATTGTATTAAAAACCACGTTATAAAATTTTCATATAGTGGAACAACTACGATTTTTCATTGGTTCACAATTGGAGACAGGATTGAGTGCAAAGTGAGGACGAACCAATATAAATATTGTTGCACTTTTCTCTATCCCTCTCTTTAAATTCTGATATAGATTTACACGATCTTAGGGTTTATCTTCTTTCTAGAGTCGTATCTTATAGTGTTTTATGTAATAAGTGTAAATATGTGATATATTAAATTCGACGAACGATCTTTATGTTGATTATTACTATAAAACTTGTAATATTGGATTTTTCATTTGATTAATAAAATTTAACTTATTCATCTCGTGTAAATTGAATTTCATCAATTGATGCAATGGTTGTTTAGCGTATTTATTTCTTATTTTTATTATATATTTTTATCATAGTGCAACTCATATATCCAAATGAATCTTTTATATAAATGATACTGCCCCGTTCTTTTGTAAAACTCTGATTTTGAAGAAAATATTTTTGAAAAGACTTTTTGGGGAATGTCTATTCAATCCCCCTATAGACCATTCTACACCCATATTCTACCTTACAACTGTCCTTAAAGTTGGGTTTTTGATCAAGTCTTGCGGCTTTAAAAGATGACAATATAGGTAAAGACGATCCAAATGGTGCATATAATAGAGCTCCCATATTCAATGGAAAAAACTATGTGTAGTGGAAAGATAACATGTGTGTTCACTTAATGTCGGTTAATAAAATAATTTGCGTTGCTATTGAAGATTATCCTTTTCTCCCAAAGAGCACCATCAACAGTATTGAAACTATAAAGCGCTCAAAGGATTAGGATGATGAAGAAACTAAGAAAGCTTTGTATGATTTAAAAATGTGGAATATACTAATTACCATCTTGAATACTAATGCATATTGTTTTATTTCACATTGTAAGATAGTTAAATCAATGTGGAAGACACTTCAGATACTCAATGTGGGTACTAAAGATGTGAAGTAATCTAAGTTTAACACATTGACAGAAGAATACGAGCTATTCCGTATGGAACCCGTTGAAATCTTGGATCCATACTGATGCGCTTTATTCATATAATCAACAAGTTAGAGAATTCATGAAATGATTGTGCTAACAAAGTGTTAAGGTCTATGTGCAGAGAATAACAACCAAATGTAACAACCATAAAAGAGTCACATAAATTGAGAACTTTGGATATATCTACATTATTTGAAAATCTTATTGAACATGAGTGCGAGATATAGAGACTCGAAGCAAAAGATATATAACATAAAAAAAGAAATATAAAGTTAGAGAAGATAAGAGAAACATATCCTTGAAGACCTCTGTTAGAACAATATTTGTTCATGACAAGTATTCCTTAAGGTTTTTATGATAACAAAAGTATTGAAAGAACAATGGTGTTATCTAATGTGTGTTCTGAGTATGCAAGTTCTAAAGCTTAAGAAGAATCTATTCAAAATATGATAAAAGAACGCATTTGAGAGAAGCTGAGTTATTGGCTTCTGGTAGTTTAGAACTGGAGAATGTTCTCTAAGTGAAGTATGATAATATAGGTTGGGATAGACTTTGAATCTAAAGGTTTCAGCATCATAAGAGCAATATGTTATATCTACAGTTATTGAATGTATCAGCTTCTAATGACCATTCGGAACTAGTGACAAAGCTAAGTTATCTGTAATGCAGAAAGCAAGCTACAATGTCAAATCAGGTTGTCAGCTAGAGTCTGTGTTCACGTGGCTCAAGAAGAGTTGATATGCTTTACAAATATCCACTCTCAACAGATCTATAGTACAAGATCACTAGGAAGACGATATGGTTAAAAGAGTTACACAATAGATAAAGATCTTTTGGTGTATCTATCTTCAACGTCTCTTGTACTATAGAGTAATAAAGACACTTGTACAAGTTATCTCTTTCAACGGTTATCATTCTGCAACTTCTATATAAGTAGATGAAGATTCAATCTAGAATCAACAAGGAAAATAAAGAGAGCCAAAAAGAAAGATGCGTTTCACGCTTCTATTAGAATGGAAGAATAATAAGATCAATAATGGAAACATAATCGAGTATGAAGAATTTTTTTTATTTGTTGTAAATTGTACAAAGCCTTAATATTTCTTAAACATTGAATATCTTATAAATCTTAAGAGCTATGATCTTTGTTATGGTTATTACCTTGTACCTCTGATTGTATCAAGTACACCTTGTTGTCTATTCTACTAAACAGATTTTGTTTAGTAGTTTAGAAAGAAAGTTTCTTTCTATGTGCTTGAGCATCAAAGTATCTTGATGTAAGCTTAAGCCAAGTAAGTATTTTGCTATGTGCATGAGCATTGAAGTCTTGATCATATTGTTGATTAAGCAGGAAAGTCTTGGACTGAAGGTCTAAGAAGAAGTCTTAGATTCGTGGAATTTAAGCAAATAAGTCTTCAATCTGTTGGATTTAAGCAGAAGCCTTGAAC